AAGTCAATGTGATGATATTACCGGCATTTTCATTCAGCTTGAATGTCAATAATGTCACAAAACGAAATTGTTGCAAATGACTCAATCGTGTGGTTTCAGATGTCTCGATTGCAACATATATACACTCAATGAATACGTACGAGTGTGAAAATTATATATATATATATATATATGTATATATAAATAAAATAAAAATATTAACATTTTTAAAGAGGAAAAAAAGAAGCAGTGCAATCGATTTTCACACCTTTTTTAACGTAAGTGTCTGCTAAACTTAAATAGGTTTATTAAGTTATGTTGCGCATTCATAAAGGAACCGATTTGTCCCAGCAAATTGTTATGACCTTAAAAATAAACTAAAAAAATTTCATGTTAAAATCTAAAAATTTTTATGCAAATTCAAGAAGAAAAAAATCAAATCTTCTCCTTCTTACGTTGTACGCTGTATTATAGTAAAAAGCATAACTTTTTGAAAAATTTCGAAAATAATTTAAACCATCATCATTGACAATGTAATATTACCTTGTATCCATTAAAAATAGGCTCACAACACTAAATGTTTATAAAATTAACAAAAAAAAAAAAAAAAAAAAGATTTCTTAACAATGATTTATTAACATACATAAGGGCTTTCACAGAGATGAAAAATTGAAAAATTATCGAAAAAATCTGACAATCCTAGAGAATCCTACTTTGGGTACGGCCATATAGACGAAATATGCTCTTGGGAGAATTTCACAACACACAATAATAACAAATTTGTGTTAAATTAAATGAAATAAGTTTTTTATTTAAGATTTATTTACACATATCGAATGAAGTCGATTCAATTGATTGCAGCAGACATGCAATAGAAAGACAAAGAAAAGGACAATCGCTTAATGTTCTATTGCTTAATTTTCTTAAATGTCAGTTCAATATAAATGCCAAAGTGCCCTTAAAATTGTGGTCTACGTACATACTTAATCACACATCTCCCCTCCCTCTATGCGCTTTCATATTCCTAGCTCTCTTACTTCAATGCAATTGAATGAACACGATTTATTTTATATTGATAAAAATAAATTTAAGGAAGAAAGAAAGAAAAACAAAAAAACAAAAAAAAAAAAACAAAAAAGAAAAGTAAAAAAACTGAAGCTCTCAAGCTCTCTGAACATGTCAGGGAGAAATCGAGATATTACCAATTGAATATCTGTAGAAATGCATCTGTCATCCCGAAAAGTATTAAATGTGCTCGCGCCATCATCTTATATATATATATACATGCACAGTCATGCTTTTGATTGTGAGGCAACGGCAACAAAGATAGAAATAGTTGCAATTAAGTAAAAATAGAAAAGTCAACAGAGAAAAAACAAAAAAAAAAAAAAAAAAAAATGTGGATTATACGGGTTTGTTAATTTTTTTTTTTATTTTTTTTTTATTCAATTCAAGCTTATCAGTCAATGTCACGTTGTGAGATCACGATAACCCTAAGGAGTAGTAATAGCAGAACAATTTATTTTTAAAGGAATTATTGATTAAAATCTGGAAAATGACATCCCTTTTGGGAAAACTCTTTGATATCCATCATCTCAATTCTTTACATGAGAATTGCATTGCAATGTTTTGATCGATATAGGCCTCGCCTGTTAGTTGATTGCAAATTTACTTTTAACCTGTACATGTCTCTGTATAGCACTTGGGAAAATTTTGATTTACATGCGGTTCATGCGTGCCGGGAGAATGAAATTGAAGTTTGATCTATACACACGGGAGCCTGATGGACAGTTGGTTGGACGGACATAACCGAATTGGCTCAATTGTTCGTATATCAATGTCAGGTACACTTTTAAGGGTCATTCAAGAGTAACCTTTCGAGCATGAGTTCGATTGTCATTCAGCTCGTTTGTCATTCTGACTGAATTCTTCTGAATTGAAATGAATACGAAATTTGTAACTTTGTTGTTGTTTTCTACATCCATTTCGATATGGGACAATGAAAATTCTCTTGCACGGTAATTGCATTAGCTTTCGAATGCAATCGAAAAAAACGTTTACTCGGGAAGAGTATGAAAAACCAGACTATTATATAATAAATATTAGTGCTTTCAAGCTCTTAATGGCAATACGGAATAGGCCAAGATAAGATAGTGGATAAGTCATTTGTCGGGGTCTTGCGTAATAAAAGCGTAAGTAAAAAAAGTTTTCGTTCATTGCGGCTTAAGTGGATGCAATCTTACATAGTTGAATACAGTAACATACGCTTGAATGAATCAAGAAACGGTCGCGTAACAATGCCAATAAATGATAGTTAGCTTAGTTTCACTTTCTTCCCAAGCTTGTAAACATTTGATTAGTTCGATAGCAATATATCTTTAAAGGGAAAAGCAAAAATTGGATCAACACTGATGCTGAATTAGACCGCGAAGACCATGAAACGTGACAAAGTTACAAGTTTTTGTGCTAGAGACGAGGAACGAACAGGAATGACAGACAAACTAGGGACCAATCGTTCTGCAGATATCTTTTTCATCCTTCCTGATGCTTTTCTCTTCTAAATCGAGTATGCTTCGCTACTCACCTTCTTCGCCCAACATTATATTCAAACAATCCCCCATTTTTTACCCTACCCTATAGGAGGCATCCATTGAGTGTAGCGTCATATAAAAAAAAAGGAAGAAAATAATAATAATAAGTTACTTGAGTAAGATATAAAATACAATTAAATTAAGATCTCGTGTCAGGTCGTGGACGATTTCGCGTGTCACCATCTTGGTCTTGAGATTTAATTTGTTTAATTCCAAAATAAAGAGTTTGTGGGGAGAAGGAACTTGCATTTCGGTATTCCGGTTAGAACGTTACCAACATTACCAATGAAGACAGCAAAAACACATTAATTCAGACAGGCGCACATCTCTTACTAATGTACATTATTTCCAGCAAAAGCAGCAGCAAAAGTATGGGGAATAACCTATTAAAAGTCATGCTTCAATTTTATTATTAAAAGTGATAAGTAAGTTTGTGTGTAATAAATTTTTTTTTTTTTCCGATTCCATTGTCTGTCTCCATTTCATATCATTTTTCAATTTTTGCTATATAGGACATATATTAGAAAGAAAATTGTGCAACGAGGGTAGGCATATGTATCATGGAGATCATTTAAAGAGGTCAGTGGAATCGGTAAACGGCGTGGCTCCACAAAGGTAATATTAGTTAAAGGAAGTAATCAAATTAGGTAAAATTAAAATCCATCCTACCTGTAGACTTACCGTTACCGTACCGTTAGCAAATAAAAAAAGAAGCAAAGAAGAAGAAAAACCCAAAGAAGTTTTATTTGGGTTGAAACAATTTGCTACTCTAGTACAGGGTGTTTCAAGTTCCAAAATTGACGCAAGTTTTGAATTAAATAGGAAACAGTGTTCTTTGTTTTTATTTAATTGTAATTATTTTATTAAAAAATAATGTATATATGATGGTGTTAATGGGTGTGGAATAACATAGCGGGCTTTGCTGGAAAATACACATTCTTTGCTCGAAATTGTCATTGACAATTTTGGGTAAATGTGACCGAATTTCGTTGATGCAGCTTTGGATGGCTTCCTTCGATATGCGGGTGGTCGAGGGTTTGTTATTAAACGTACACTGATCCAGTCTTCCTGAATTTTTTAATTTACTCTCTTTAAGCTTGATGAAGTTGAATCAATATTCCGACGTTATTTTGTATGAAATTTGCAAACTGTGGCCGCCAAACTTTTGTTGTTTCTGATAGATTGTTCAACAACGAAAAGGTGTTGCTTTCTCATCTAATGTTCCATTTTTCTAGTCCTAAACTGTCAGCTGTCAAATTGCTGGCTTACCAATATTTTACCGCACAAATGGCGGCAAATTTATATCATGCGTCAATTTTAAGACACCCTACCCATGGCAATGTTACATCGGCAGTAGTTCAAATCATGCGTTTATATGATTTCGATACACTGTGCGAGGAAAATCGCATAAAAATCATATATACAAATATACAAATAATGAAATTCATTCTCACTTTTCCTATCGCCAAGTGACAATATTTATTTATTTTTAATTTTTCTTTCAATATTTTGCCAATTATTGAACTAATCGTTCCGCTGAATTGATTTAGTCTATTTATGGAAAAAAAACTCACTGCCATATTATTATTATTATTATTATTATTATTTTCTTTTTCAAATTTTATATTTATTTTTCTAAATTTCTACACAATCATTTGATCATTTTCAACTTTAGTGAAAAATTGATGATATTTTTAAATATATTTTTGGGATACATTGCTTATATTGCGTGTATTCTCATAATTTACAAAAAAAAAGAAAAAAAATAAAAAACCTTGCATAATACCTACCATATATCGTGCGTTAATCTCTTGCCATAGGATTGTGCTAAGAGGTCTTTTCAAAAGATCTCCTCTTCCAACATACGATATTAATAAAAAGATGAAAACAAAAAAAAAAAAAAAAAAAAAAAAAAACTATTAAAATATAATAATTTTTTGGAAATGCAATTAAAATAAATGCTTTTGTATTTTGTATTTTAATATGCATATGTATCTGTGCATATGTAAAAGTGTGCTACAAGCTAATATATTAATTAATTAAGACTTAATAAAGCATACATATATAATTAAGTACATAATTTATATGATTATATATATATATATATATATATATATATCTTGACATAATTAGTAATGATTTTTCCTATCCAAAGTTATTGCTTCAAACTTTTAGCTAAAAGAAATAACTAACAAAACTGTTACGCTTATATAAAACGTGTACGATACGTGTAATTAATAGAATTTTGTAAATGTGCGTGTATTTGTGTCGCATTTATACTCGTACCATACAAAAAATGCCTGTGTAAATAGAAAAATATGTAAATATTTACAAAAAGCCCCGTTTTTTGTTTTATCATAATATTTGGATGAAATAATAAAAGCAAAAATTTTTGTTTTTTTTTTTTTCTCATTTTCGCTTAAAATATCACAAAAGAATATAAAAGAAAAAAGAAACAACAAGAAATAATTTCAGCTCTTCTGTACATAAATCAAATCAAACAAATTGAAGCGAATAGGTGGAGCTTGGTTTATCTTGCCTCCTCATGCTTACTGTTATACTAATTCTAAGTAAATTTTGTTTCTTTTAAGGAACAATATGCTATTTGTCAGACTATTTAAATTGCGATGATCCTCTATAGTAAATGCTGATCGCTGCCATCAATTTTATTGCAATGATTTCATTTCTTTCAACTCGATTTTTGTGTTAATATGTTCCCCACACAAGTATCCAAGTTTACATTCTCTTCGCTGTCTCTGTCTCGCTCTCTCTCTCTCTCTCTCTCTTGTATTTTCTGCCTTTTGTCACTCTATATAGTTAATTGTACTGCGTGCAACATAACTGTTTTCAAATCTGATGCCAAATGACTGATGTCGACAACTGAGTCGACCATTTCTTGTACGGCGGTTACACTTGGAAAATGAGCGGCTGCTTGTTTCGATTTAAGCACACACGTTTTGAGCGCCTCCGATAAGGCGTCCGTGCACCGCAATATTTTCTCTTTTAAATCGCTTTTCGACACATTACGATGCACTATATCGCCTATAGTTACCAAATTATGAGCGCTTACTACCACAAATTTACCATAAGCTATAAAAAATTTCGGCGGTTGATTTTTTTCGACTGTCTCCAGAAATGAGTCAATGGCTTGCCTTAAATTACCCATATGTGTAGAAATTTGCACCGCATAATAACGCACAAGCATTTTATCTTTGTCGGTTAATTCGCTGCAGGCCTTCTTACCATTCGGTGTTGTCGGCAAAGTATTAGAAACAGTAATGACCGTATTTTCGGCCGCCTTTAAAACATTATCGAATTTGTTTTTTAAATTTTCAGGTATAGCCTCTCGCAAGACTGAATTTTTCTTAGCAGCTGCATCTTTGGATTCAAACGATACGTAATCATAATCTTCTAACCACTCTGTGGCGTTTCGTTGTTCGTCATTTTCGTTAGGATTTTGTGTTGGGATCTCTTCTATCAGTTCCGGTAAATGTCGCTTGAATAGCAATGAAGCGTTGCCTTGTATAAATGATGTTGTTGATCGCACATCCTCAGTTAGCGTTTGCGCACAAGCGACTAATTGATCTAAACTATCCGGTGGCTTACAAACATTTTTGTCCTCATTTCGTGTTAAATTTTCTAAACACCAGCCGCCTTTAGTTTCTAATGTTTCGCAAGAGTCTTGAACTAATTTATTAGCATCTCGTAGTGCTCTTATAATTGGTCGTATCTTTTGAGCTAATGTACGATCTTCAGAGCGTGCTGCATTGCCGAGGGCTCCCTCACCAAACTCGGTCAAATCGTGTAAAGCGGTACGTAAACGTACAACAGCCAATTTTACTTCCATCAAGACCGGTTCTAATTTATCATGCGTACGCCAATCAGGCGACACAAAAGAAAGTAATCTAATGGAATAAGTGATAGAAAAATAAGAAAAATTATATAATCACGATATATAAATAACTTAAAGATAAGAAAGAATTTTATGCAGACTGTAAACAAAATATCGAAACAAGCACAAGCAACATCTTTAGCGATATTTTGAATATTCACTATATAAGGCATACATTATATATAAGCTCTTACATATGGCATAATATAATAATTCATTCATAATGAGATAATTTATTGGTTAATTTTGAGACTACTTCAGCTTTCTGCTGATCAGAATCGATTGAACTCTTTTTGATCTAACTAGAGATTGGCCGATAAAAGGGATAACTAATTCGCTGAGTTAAAACACAAGATTGAATCCGTTTGAAATATCAACTTTTGCTAATGATATTCTCACTCTATTGGACTTTTTTGTGATATCATGCAATATAAGTATACATATATATATATATATATATATTTTTTTTTTTTTCTCTTCATTCATTTCGATGAAGACTTCCTTAAGGCACATATTTCATTTTCACCTATTGTAAGCCGTTGCAAAAATAAGCACCGGTCCGGGTAAAAGTAATTACGGCAGATGACCGGCGATATTTTTGCCTGAGCTTTTACAAGACACTTAATATACAAAAGTAACGCCAATGAATATTTGCTCCGAATTTAAAATATTTGATAAAGTATGTTACGTAATGGCATGAAGGAGATTAAAGTTGAATGCCCGCGACTTCAATTAAATGTAACAATCGTGGGCATTTTTAAGAAAACAATGAGGATTGGTTTTATACCGAACTTTCAGATTGCGTTAGTGAGCATACGCATGATATATACAATACATATTTTAAGTTATTTGAAATTTTTTAATTTTATAGATAGATAGATAGATAGGACGTAGCGACGTCCTTTTTTATAATTAGTTTATCTATTTAAGCGGATTTAATAGATTAAAATATAACGTAGGATGCGTTTGAATTTTTTTGTGGGCTAGAGATCTAAATATAAATTTAATGGCATCCCAAATTATCGAGGAGACGATGGAAAGAAGAAGAAAAATTTATATTATATTTCTTGCCTTGTTATAGCTGTAGTTGTTTCCGATTGCAATTTGGCCAAGGTTTCCAGTGCCGACGATAATTCTAGTGGTAATTCTTTGGTAATTAATAAGGCTTGAGCTCCCGTCTTCTCTAAGCTCGTATTCGAGATTGGTAAAGGGAAATCGTAAGATAAGCAATTGCCATTTAGCGATGTTCTTGAGTTGGGTCTTTGTTGCGATTGATGCTGCATTTGTTGGTGTTGTTGGTGTTGTTGGTGTTGTTGGTGTTGTTGGTGTTGTTGATGCTGTTGCTGTTGCTGCTGTAAAACGGTACGTACTGGCAATGGATTACGCCTGGGTACATCATAATCTGGCATATTAGCCAATGAGGAACGATTTGATGAAGAGAATGATAAACTTAAACTATCACTCGTTAGCAAAGATGAATTCGAACTACTAGGTGTTAAAGTATGCTGATGCTGCAATATGCTACCCGCTAACGGACGGGGTATATCATAATTTTCTTCTTGTATAACTGTTGCACAAGTGTTTATCATCGTATTGATAGCAGCGGATGTCGCAGATGTTGGTGTTGATGTTGGCAAATGAGCCATTATTGTACGATTAAGATTTTTCGGTAAATCGTAGTTAACCGGAATGGCCGGTTTCGGTATATCGTAATTTTCAAATTCGTGACTTATGAATTTTGTTGTTGGTAAATTTTGGTAAAGTTGTTGATGTGATGGATACGATTCCAAGAGATTTGCGGTAGTGATGGCAGTGGTATTAGTTGAGGGATAACTAATAATGGGAGCTGGTGTATGGTAGACATATACATCACCATGTCTTTGGGGTGTGATGACCTGTTAGGAAAATTGTAAAATAAAGTTAAATTAAATTTTTTTTTTAATAAAAAAAATGCATTATTTTTTTCTTTTTTAATTGAATCAAATAATTCCCATATCGCAAATTTTATTTCGATAAAAGTTTTGTTTATAATCGCAAAGACTTCTTTCTTACTTTTAATATTTCTATCGATTTTTTATATACATACATATATATACATATGTACATATATATATATATATATATATATATACAATGCACGATAGTCACTACATCTTTATGCTCTATTAAGGTAATTTTAAGGTATGCAAAGGTTCTGCTTTATTTAACCAAAGGACTGATTGACTGGCATATCCTTTTCATTTATTTTCCTTTTTTTTTAATTTATTTAATCTTATATGCATATATATATATATATAAAATTATATATATATAGAATATTTATTTAAATATGCTATTATTTTCCTTTCTAAATTTATATTTATATTCAAATTTTAGCAAACTTTATTCTTCTCTCGAGGTCTACACAAGTTGAGGGTAGAATTGTTACTACGACTACGACTACTACGACTACTACTACTACTTGAGGGCAAATAAAAATGAGTAAACGTACACTTTTCTATCGGCTTTTTTTTTTTTTTTTGTTTTTTCTTTAGTATAAATAAACAACTAAGAAACTCTTTTAGAGTGAAAGCTCTCTGGCACTAACTACTGCGCATGACTGACTAATCGAATAGATTGCAAGTATGTTTTCCTGAAAAAATCAAATAGCCCTACAAGTTCAATAATCTTTTTCACGAACAATTTGTTGTTGATGATATATTAGAAAATTTCAAATAAAATTCCCAATGTCAAGGCACTTAAAACTTCAGAGGCGTAACAAACGCATAGTGTGATGAAAGAGAGGTAAGTTTATTTAATAAAAAGTTTCGTAACGCTATACTCTTTCGTTCTTACTTATTAAAGCATCAATCTTGTCAAAAAGACATCTTGCTTGCTTTACCTGCATTTCGAAAGATGAATTTCCGAATCTGTTAGTGATTTTCAAATAATATATTCGGGTTCACTGAATCGTTTAATGTTCATAGAGAGACAGAGAGAGAGAGAGAGAGAGATAGAGCGAAAGTTTACTCATTAAGTCCATTGTAAACAGTGTCGTATACATCGTTTTTGTACAGGTGTCGGTATATCTCGGCAGAGCAGGGTATATTAAGTTTTTAGGGGTGCATGTAATACACAGAAGGACTTCAGATGGACCTACCTTTTATTATGCCAATTGATTCAGAATCATTTTTCCGATCGATGTAAGCTTGTTTGTCCATCTGATGTAGGTTGATGTATTCTTGTGTTCAACCCGCAAGTCGCAATTTTCCAGATATTTCGATGAAATAGAAAATGGTTTAGATTGGACGACTCTTTCGACCACTTCACTAAGGGATATCGCGATAAAAATCACCAAGTATTAGTATTCCGACATGGTAAGTTGGTGCGAAAACTTTGAATCGGACGGGGCAATATTTTGAATCCGTAGGATTGTACGGCAACGGGGGCGTAATTTTCAATATTTCTTGATCAAAAATTCGTTCATATTAATAATCTGACATAAAAATTAACAATACTAAGCGTGAACTAGGTGGCGCTATTTTGCGGACCTCGACCCATATAAGAGTTTTAATGAAAAATAAGTCGAAATGCTTAATTTTTAATGTTTTGTTATGCAAATTTATCCTTAGTAAATTAACTATATACGTAATTTGGATTACATAGGTCTATTTTCAGACCGCGCTTTTTATTATGATGGAAGCAACTGGAAAAATAACAAAATTTTTGCAAAGAAATTTAAGTTTGCTAAATTTAGGCCACGTTAACGCTTGAGTAACCCCCAATACGAGGGCCGTTATAAAAATTATGGATTCACATAAAAATAAAACGCACAATATTTGGTGTTATTAAGAAGAGAAGAAACCGATTTATTGATTCATTTATTTTGCACTGTCACAGAAATGGTGTACAAGGGGAAGCGGTGTAGGGTATCTAATAGCCGGCCTTGATCGACTATAGCATTCTTACTTGTTTTAGTTTGCTTTATTGTATAAATGCGTACGTATTTACGCCAAGGTAAGTATGAAAATATTTTAAATTCTGTTCGATGAAAATTATTTTAAGATCATTGCGGTTAAGGAAGCATTGGGCAAAGACACAGCAAGAACGTGCAAAATTTCTCCGTTTTATTACGGTCGAAATCCGTGGGAATGATATGAATGTACAAAAATCGGATATCGTATGAATTACACTTAGCGAAAGTATAAATGAAATTTATTAGACGCAAACAGTTATTCTGCGATGGGAAATGTGAAGGACTTCCTGATTAAATCAAAACTTGTGATGAAAAGTGAACGCATTGCGGATTGCACGGGGTTGCCCCATTCACGCATCAACATCAACGATGAAGGCAAATGTCTATCATTTAAAGATCATGACATATATGACTGCATTATCTGTAAATATCGAACCATCCATTCTCTGAAGATATAAATGCTTGCGACTCTTACAACTGATCAATAAATGATGGCTTCTCCTAGCCACACGTTCTTTCTGCAAGGAATGCACGGAGTGGAACAATTCTTAAATTGCCACTTAAACACGAATTCATCTATCGTGGAATCAGCGTGCAATCCATATACTCTTAAAAAGGTGAAGGAAAGACTAATATTTTCAGTAGTGGAATTAGTGAAATCAGGTGGAATTGGTCTGGATAAAGTGTCAATGTTCACAAAACTTCCTTTAAAACTTAATTGAACACTCAAAATTATTTCTGGAGCACAAATTAAATTTTCTATACACCCTACTTTAAAAAATGTAAAATCTTCGATGGTTTCATTATTATATTAGAGAGACTTTGGTGACAGTTCGGCAAGATTTACTTCAAAGCGAGATTATTATTATTACTATTATTATTATTATTATTGTTATAATTTTAGACTAATGAGATAAATTTTTAGACTAAGAGAAAAAGGCATTGAGTACTAGTAACCCTGGCTATCGGTTCTAATTTATAAAAGCACGTTACATATCGAGCTTAGTAGTTTCAATAAAGTAATATATTGTATTGATATTCTGTTCTGTAGCTGAGTTTAGAATGTCCATAGGATTAGTCGCTCCAAATACAATACTTCTAGCCAAGGAAAAATTAGGGCAGTCATAGAGAATGTGCTTGATAGTGAGAATTTGCCCGCAAGTGAACATTGGGTAGGAAGACTTCTTTAAGATTCATTGGCGTGTTGGAATTGTATGGCTAAGGCGATTTTTCGGAAATGTTTGGATTTTGATTTTCTTAATATTTGTTGGATATAAAGGTGGAATTAACTGAGGATTAATAGACGAGTAGTGCTGATGATGCTATTGTAGACTTCTTTCTGGAATTTTCTGTTTAACATTTTTTTCAACTTTTCCATGACGTCATTCATAATTAGATGTGCAGAAGCAGAATAATTCGCCGCTCGATCAGCTTGCTCATTTCCGAATAAACCGATGTGACTTGGTACCCAAAGCAATTAAATTTTTTCGCCGGATGTTGTAATGATATTCCTTAATTTGTTGATGGTGCTCCTTCTCGACGTCGAAGGATTCCGTATAGCTTTTAATGGAGACAAAGTGTCGGTAACAGTGACGGTTTTGAGTTTGTCTTTATGCGAAAGGTTCGCAGCGTGAAAGATAGCTTTGTTTTCGTTTGTAAAAATTGAAGCACTTTCGTGTATAGCTGCCCTTCTTGCTTGTTTATTAATATATCATCATGTTACAATCTAAAATTTTCTTCTTATTGCAATGAAGAAAAAATGAAAATTAATTGAAATTCATTTAATCAATTTTAAGGACGAATAGCTCTCTACATTTTTATTATCTCCGCACACTACAATTCATGTGCAAGTATAATAAAAAAATTCATTGTACTCACTATGAGTTGGTGCCCTGAACGTTCGTTTCAATTAAGACTCACATACTTAAACGTACAATCACGCATGACTTATTAAAAGCACTGGGCAAAATTCAATTACTTGCCTTTTAGTGACATGCGAACAAATAAGAAAGTTGAAGACAATCGGGAATAAAGTCTAGGTGCGTAATATCTGTCATTCTAAGTGTAGTAACTAATAAATATTGCTGAGCGCGACAGAGAGAACAGTGATTTATTAAAATCGTTTTCTTAATCATATGTATAAATAACATCAGTAGCTGGGCAAGTAAATTTTTATAGATCATTTTATAGATTGCCATATATTGCCTCAAATCATTATGTATGTACAAATTTTAATAGTTATATTTTATTATTAGTTGGCACACACATCAATGGGTTGATCAGAGCTTTACAGAGCAACATTGACTTTGTAAATTATTTTAGAACATATTGTCACGAAGTCCTTACCCACCTCACATATGTTATGGATCGTAAGTTAAAATATTTTATATTTATTGCTGATGTGACGGGATCACCTTTTCTCGTCCGTTGAAGCTTAAAAATTCTCCCAAAGACTAATTGCTCCAAATTTTAGTTAAATTTTTATTCTTACACAGCCCTGTTAAGCCCTGGTTTTAAATGTATTTGCTATCTAAATACGGGAATGTATGCGCACACCCTTATAATAACAATTAAAACATTATTGAATTTTCTTTATTGCTATTTGCATAGAAAATGCACGCACGCATATCAAGCATCTGTCAATCCTCCTATTTACAAACGTGCTCGTTTCGCCACGTATATAACGTCGAGATGAAAATGCAAAAGATGGAATGATGCGAAACGTTAACCACCTCCTCCACACTAATCATTTTGCTGGCATCGCGATTATACGAAATAGGATATCTACATATCGTACACACATATACAGATGTTTGAATGCAAGGATCGGTTTCCTGCTTACATTTCAAAAAAAAAAAAAAAAAAAAAAAAAACAATAATTTTTTGAATAAAAAAAAAAAAAAAAAAACTAATATAAAATATTTCCATTTCTCGAAAACT